CTTGAGCCACAGGTGCCGAGCCACGCCCAGCTATTTTTTATTGCAGTTTGGCCAGGGCTGAGTTTGAACCTGCCACCCTCCATATATGGGGCTGGTGCCATACTCACTGAGCCACAGGCACCGCCCTACACTGAGTTCTTTTTTGGAGGTGGGATAGAGTCTCACTTTGTCCCCCTGGGTAGAGTACCATGGCGTCATAGTTCATAGCACCCTCAAGCTCTTGGGCTCATGCCATCCTCTTGCCCCAGCCTCCCTAGTAGCTAGGGCTATAGGTGCTGGTCACAATGCTTGGCTAGTTTTTCTTTTCTTTCTTTTTTTTTCCCCAGTAGAGACAGGGTCTTGCTCTTGCTCAGACTGGTCTCTGACTCCTGAGATAAAGTAATCCACCTGCCTTGGCCTCCCAGAGTTCTAGGATTATAGGAGTGCGCTACCGCACCTGGTCCTATATCCTTTTTTTTTTTTTTTTTTTTTTTTGAGATGAGGGAACTGAAGTCTAATGAGGTCAGATTATTTGCCCAAAGTTAAACTGCTGAGTAAGTAATAAAGGTAGGATTCAAACTCAGAGATCCGGCTTCAGAGTTCTAGGTTTTAGCAGAAAACAGCAAAAAACAGAATCAGTTTTGTAAAGTCTTCAGTTATCTAATGAAGAAAGGAAAGGGAGTATGTTTAGTATGTTTAAAGAAAAAGTATTTCACTGAAAATCATCAAAAATTGAGAGACTGTGAGAAAAGTAAAAATTAGAAAGGAAAATATATAACTGTTGTTATTAGCAAAGATGTATTCATCTACCTAAAATATCCAGGAGAATAAACTATATACTGTTTGAACAATTGGAAAAGAACCAGTTCTCTTCAGGGTCGTCTTGGAATTCGTTGACAGTTTTCTGAGTTTGAGATTCACTCTGTTATCCAGGCTAGAGTGGCATCATCACAGCTCACAGAAACCTCACATTCCTCAGTGTAAGGGATTCTCCTGCTTCAGCCTCCTGACTGGGGCTATAGGCACCTGCTGTGACATTGGGCTAATTTTTCTATAACAAATTTTATTTTAAACTGTGGCCATTAAAATTGTTTGTTACTGGCATTGAGATAAACAAAATGACCAATGAAACAAAAGAGAGATCTGTGAACATGTGGAAGACTGATATGACAGAAAGGGCAGATAATTGGGACTCTTCAACAAAGGATGTGAGGACAGTTGGTTGTTCATATATGAAAAAATACTGGATTTCTTCCTCATACCATACACAAAAATCATTTCAGATGGCTTAAAAACATAAATGTTAAAAGATAAGATTTTAAAACTTTTAGGTGAAATTATATAATCTCAGGTGTATGAAGGGATTTCTTACTTTTGGAGACAGAGTAGGGTGCTGTGGCATCACAGCTCACAACCTCCAACTCCTGGGCTCAAGCGAGTCTCCTGCCTCTGCCTCCTAAGT